TCAGCAATACAGGCCTTTTTTTTTTTTTGATTTCCCAAACACACTTTTTTTTTAAATTAATTAATTAATTCATACAGAACTGGGTACAGGCCAGAGATGCGGAGGGTAAGAGGATTCACCAGAGACAGAGAGGGGAGCAGAAAAGGCAGATCGATGAAGTACACTGCTGAGGGGAGCAGTGGGTGGGTAAGGAGAGGTCTGCCTCGGTCATGTGGATCTCCTTGGGGCAAGCAGGAATCGAACTCATGCAGAAGTGGCTTACGCTTCTTAGTGCTGTGCTTTAACCTGCTACGCCATCAGGGAGGGCCCCCCAAACACACTCTTTAAACTACTTCTCTACAGAAATAAGTCTTCTCATCTCAAAATGCTTATTATTCAGGTTTAGTTTAAATGCCACCTGATTCAGAAAGGTCTCCTGTGACCAGTCAATTTAAAAGCAACCACCCACTCATGCACTATCACATTACCTCACCTTATTCTCTTTATTCTCTTTATCACTTTATCTGGTTTAAAAAAAGTTTCACTGATTGATATTATTAGAAGAGCTATCATTCAGTTATGTACTCAAAAAATATTAAATAAAATCAACATGAAAAGTTTAGGCATTACTGATTTGTTAATTCATCAAAATCATTCAAAATTTCTTTATTAAATGCCTACTGTATGTCAGATACAGACAGCAAACCATACCTGACTTCCCAGGTACTTACTTCCTCTCTTTTGTCCTACCAATATGCCAAGAAACTTTCATTTCACCTCTCTGATACAGCATTTTAATAGCTACTAAAAGTTTTAATAATCTAGTAGAACTCTATAAATAAGATATAACCTTCAGCATAGCTGTATTAAAATACAGTAAACCACAAAAGGAACAATTCACTCATAAGTGACAGCTAGCAAATACTTATGCAAAACAAATGCCACAACAGCTTAGTTTATACAGCACAACTGCCAATATTACATAAACCACAAATTGAGGTAATTCTTTGCAGATTACTGTACAGTACACTAAATATGTTTACAGTAAATAAAATTACTGTTATCTTAGGATTCTTTTTGAAAACATTCAATGTCTTCACACATAAAGACATTTCATTTCAACGTGTGCATTTCAAATCCCACCTCAAACTTACTGGTGGCTTTTTGCCAGTCATTCACAAAAGAAAGCTGTTTTATTGTGGATTTCATAGGCAAGAGGGGAAGAGAATCTTTTTTCAATAGGTTCCATCACTGGCAGTTGCCATGATGACTCAAACTTTACTTTCTTTGACACTAGTAGCTTTTGGATGTTTTTTGTTTCCCCTTCAGTGATTTATGCCACTTGTGGCAAGTACTGGTAGATTTGAAGGATTAAATCTGTACACCACTTCCCTCTCTCATCATTTTCAGTGAACAATAAAATCTAAACTGTATTATAATTTCCTTAATTCTTGTTCTTTAACTCACCTGCTCTTAAATAATGAGCTAATACCAAAACAAAAACCAAAGTGACTATGGATCTGAACTTAAAAAAATGTGCACATTCCATTTTCCTTTAAATGACCATCATACAATAAAAACCAGAATTATAAGCAATTGTAAATGAATAGCAGTCTATTAGTTATCTCAAAATACTCCATTAACCAGTTCAATTTCTAACATGTTTTGCAGTAAATTATCTATTCAAAACAGAAAAATATAAGAATCTTCTTTTAGGGCCACCCTTGTGGGGCAAGGGGTTAAAGCACAACATTATAAAGCTATCAGCAGTCACCGCTTTGATACTGGCTAGGGAGCTGACCCACATGGTGCAGCAGACCTCCCCTGTCTCTTTAGCTGCTCCCCTCCCTCAGCCGTGTATTTCAGTAGGTCAGCCTGTTCTGCTCCCCAATCTGTGGTGCAACTGCCCAGCCCCCCTCTACCTTGACCTACACCCCCTGCTCTGGAATGAATAATAAATTTTTAAAAACAAAAGAACATTATTTTAGTCTCCCCATCCCAAACATACCCCCTTCTCATTTTGTTTTGCTATTTGAATTTTTATGAGATGTAATACTGTTATAATAATAATAGTGATAATAAAAACTATCTACAATAGTTAACATTAAAGGTTGTGCATGGTTAGTGGCCCAGGAAAATATACAAATGTCTAATAAATGTTGAAAAGGTTTCACTAGTTAAAAAAGGTTGGGATGAGGGGAGGACTTACAACAGTCAAAAACTAGAGCAAATACAAATACCTTAAAAACAAATCCTTTTGCCTTTTCCAGTTTGTACAATCCCTGCTCTATCTAAGGCACTGACCTCCAACTAGGTCAATAATACTCTCAAGAAGACCAAGACCATACTTTAGGCATGTCCCTGTACTCCAATCCCATCAATCAAAGTTCTCTAAACATTTACTTGTTTAACAAATGAATCACTCTCTTGACTACCTTTATCTCTCAGTCCTTTCTTTCACCCACTTCTGCTCCTAAAGATTTTAAGCTCACAAGTCAGTTTGTACACTTAGGTTACTACATTTCCTTAGTTCCTTGGAGGTAAAAAGTTAACAAGGACAAATCTGTGAGCAGCCCAAGTTGAAATCTTAAGAGTCCAAAGTCAGTCCATTTTATGTGGATTTTCTTTAGTCTTACTAAAATTCTATTTTTCTTTATTACAGATTTAATATCCTTGGTTACCTAGTTTTCACAACAAATTAGAAATAGGACACTTAGAATCTCCCTATATTAATATAAATTTCATCGTTTCTCACTGCAGTTCTACCTTCAAGTACTGTACCAAAATAAATGTTAACTAACTGTTCTATCTTGAAAAAAGTTCTGAAATTTAAAGCCATCATGGTGAAAATCTACAAATCATTTCAATGTAAATGTTTCCATAAGTCAAACTGTTTTCATTTCTTGCCCGAGACAACAATGTTTACTGCTATATTTACATAAATAGCAACAAAGTTATATTTATATAATAGCAACAAAAAAAACCCTTGAAGTCAGTCGGTAACAATGAATCTTCAGAAAACACACTTCCAGAAGTATATTTATAACACATATAACTTCATACATTTCCTTGGAAATTGGAAAACAGCAAATACAGCTAGGAGTCTATATAAACACAATATTGGCTCCAAGACATGTATTCATAAGGTGCCTAGATAGCTATACAAATCTTAATATAAGTATTTCAGTGAAGGCTTTGGAAACTCACAACATGACTTTAATATTCACAGAGCTACTCACAAAAAACTCCTTTAGGTTTCACTAATCCTGGAATTAATTCTGAATGCCATAAGCTGGTAAAGTTTCTGCAGCACTAACATTTATAACCATAAAGAAACAAAGTCAGAGAGCCACTTTATGTAAAGTTTTGCCTGAATATATCCATGGCATTTCAACTTTCTTTCACTCACATTACACACAAAGCAATAATTTTCAAGAATTTGATTTCTATTAATAATACCAATGAATAGTATGTTGTCAATTAACTTCTGAGGACACTGAAATTTGTCAGATATAACTGATATTTTCTGCACTTTGAGGAATTCATCCTACAACAGTCTATACATATAATAAATATTTTGAATTCAAACCATTTTGTGCTACAATGCCAAAAAGGATGGGGCAATCTGTTCTTGAAGAATTAAAGATGTGGAAAACTTCAAGACAGGTATACAACAATATCATAACCTCAATCATACTCGCCTCCATTTATTGACCGCAGATTAAAATACCATTTAATACCACATCTCTGCAAGGCGGGTATTGTTCCCATCCTGCAGGGAATGCAGCTAAGAAATTAATTTGTCTGAGAACACAGTAAACAAATTACAAAGAACAAGTGGACTGGGGTCTATGAATCCAGATTACCACCAACACAAAAACAACTACTTTTTGAAAGATGGACTGGCAAAAAGTTTCTGGTTTTAATTTAGCATTAACACGATCTTAACAGTGTACAGAACCACAATTCCAGAACATAGGCACTAAATTTACACTCAAGGCATTTTCCAGATTCTTGGCATAAACTTGTAACGATTTCAACAGTGGCTCTTTTCGCAGTCAAAAATACAGCCGATGGCATGAAAATTTACCACGTGGACTTACGAAGTGTTCAAGGGTTTAACTGCGGACGAGAGTCAAAGTTTTTATGTATTTCTCCCAGGAAAAGCTATCACTTGGATGTGGGGGTTGGGGGTGGGAGAACGAGGAAGGCACAGAATTTCAACTCCTGCAATTACAATACTTCTATCAGAGGATCCGCTAACAGCCTGGATTTGAAGGGCTGTAAAACAAAAATCTTCACCGCCAGAGAGGCCTCAAGGTGCCATCTATACCAGGTGGGTTCGGTGGCGGGAAGACTGCAACTAAACAATTCAAGATTTGTACAAATAAAAAGCTTAATGTTTCTGTGGGCGGGGGAAAGAGGCAATTAATTCATTTTTACTAACTCTCAATCTCACTCTTCGCTAGACGCCAGCTGATACTTTAAGGTCCCTCACCGCCGGTTACCGCCTAGCAGACCTCAGCGCCACCAGGTCCACTCAGGCGGAGTGGAGATGCCCACAGATCATCCCCCAGCTGTGCAATACATCAGCGGGGCCCGCTCCGTCGCCGAGGCTGTCCCGATCTCCCCTCCCCCTCTGGGCCCGCCACCGAGAGACCCCAAGGCCTAGGCTCCCCCAAGTCCCGCGAGCGTAAGCGCCACACCATCTGCCCCATACGCTCGGCGTCCAGCCATCGCTTCCCTTTTCTCCAGCCACAAAGCCCGCGGCCAATTCCACAGGGTCGGCTCGACCACAAGCCGCCGGGACCCCAGGCCCTTCCCGCGCCCCCAGTCCACAGGCTTCATCCAGCGCCCCAGGCCCCAGCCTCGCGGCACCCTCTCCCTCGCGCCGCCAAGCCCGCTTGAGGCCCCAACCCCACAGCGGCCGCGCCGCGCCACCCCCGGCCCAGGCCCGGCCGGTCCCCTGCGCTCTGGCCGGCGCGCTACCGCCCTCGCCCCGCGCTCCCCGCCGCTCGCACCGTCTCCTCCGGGTCGATGTCGATCTTGAAGGTCTGCTGCTGGAGGGTCTTCAGGGTGACCTGCATGGTGCCGCCGCGCAGCTCCGCAGTCGGGCCTGCTCCGGGTGCTGGCCGCTGGGCGGGGTCTGTGGCCTGGCGGGGCCCTGGGGTCGCCCGCGCTCCTCGCGCTCTCTGGAGGAAGGCGGTGGGGGGTGGGGGCTTGTCACATTCGCCCCGCGGAACGGCCTCGCCCCCAGCCCTGGTCCCGGACCGCGCCGCTGCCTCCGCGACTGCGGCCTTCCCAGCGAGCTCGGGCCGCCGTGCTTCCTCGCGCGCACGGCGCCAGCCAGAGTCTGCAGCAGGCGCGAGGGGCTCAGCGAAACCAGCAGAAATTCCGCTAGCTCACCACAGGCTGGTGGCCGCCATCATCGTGACTCGCCGAGACGCGCCCCCTCCCCCACCCGAAAAACCTGAAGGATGGAGCCGGGCTGGTCAAGCGCGCAGGCGTAGGGTGCGGTGGAACTGTGCGCAGGCGCAGTCGAGAACTCCGCCCCGGAATTGGGACCAGGCTGACTGCGGCTCTGGAACGTCGGCGGCCTGGACTGGGTGTGCGCAGGCGCAGTGCGTGGGCGTCTCGGGGGCTCTCGGGGCTTCCTCGTTGCGTCTGCAGCCCCGGGTGTTCTCCCGCCGGCGGCCGTTCGGCCTACGTCCACGCTCCGCCCAGCTGCCGGAGTTGCGCAATCCGTAACCCGGGTAGCGCTACGTGGAGATCCTAAGTGGATGCTGAGCCTGGGAGCGCGGGTGCTGGAGGGCGGTAGGTCGGGGCGGGGTTTAAAAGGATGGTGGTGGCGCTGGCTGTGGGGCTCAGCCTTTGTGGTGTCGACTGGATCTTTAATCCTCGGAGCACAGACTCTAGCGCTGGTGTGTGGGTGAACCTTGGAATAATTTAGGAGGTCAATTATATCACTCCTCTGTTTTACGATTACCCGATTTATTTTTGCTCACTTTTGGAAGTGCTGTGCAGCCCCTGCCTGGCACTGCAGCGCTCTCGGCTTTCCGCTGGCGCCTTGTTGAGACCGGACACGTCCCTGCCGAGGACCTGCCTCTGCTTTTGCTTTCGTGCTCCCGAGGCTTCCGCGTTCAGATCTTTACTCAGATGCCACGTGGGTGCCCAGCTTTTCTGTGTCACAAGGTCCCCTGCGGTACAAATGACTTGAAAGTGGTTCACATGTAAAGCAGCGTTCCAGTTAGACCACTCGCTCTGGGACCCGTCGCTAAGTAGCAACCTGGGCCACAGCTTGGTTCTCGGTGGATTCTAAAAGTTCAGATAACAGTTCTTCCGCTAAACTGGTATTTCCCTTTCCCGGCACTAATATTTCCCGAGATGGCATTCAATACCTAGCCCTCTGCGTCCGTCTTCCTGTATTTCCACTGTTAGTCACCTGGTGATCTCATCCCCTCCCTTGTTTTGAAATAACTCCAGCCTGGACCTGTCCCTTTAGCCAAAGCCAGACTTAGCCAATTGCCCAGGCGGTATTTTCGCTTGAAATTTAATAAGCCTCTGAAACGTAGCAAGGCCAAGCAGAACCATTGATTTCCCCTTTATCCCCACTCCTAGACCTCTGAAACCTGCTCTACTCCCGGCTTCCCCCCATTTTACTTCAGGGCACCACCATTTACCCAGCTGCTCGGGCCAAAAATCTAGTCATCACTGATGAACCTTTTTCTTCCCTTTGTTCCCTACAACTGTCACATCTAATTCACATTTAATTCCTGTCACTTTTATTCTCCAAACCCTAACCCCATTTCTACTTCTGCTTTTTCTAGGCTAAGCCATCGTTATCCGCCCCTTGCCTCCCACTGGTCTGTCTACTTCCATTCTCCCCCCATAGGCCTCCCCAACAGTGTTTTTTTTTCCAACCAGAAATCAAATCATGTCACATGTATTCTTAATACTTAGTTACACTTTGGAATAAAATTCTTCGTCTGGCGGTGGAGGATTCACAGGCTCCGCCTTCTGCCAGATTCCCTGGCCTCATGGCTTTCTCTCTCACTCCTTCGCAATCACTGTCATTCCTCTGCGCCACCTTTCTTCATCCCTCCAACTGGCTGAACTGGTTCTAGCCTCTGGGCCTTTGAGTTTACTTTCGATTGAACGATTGAACGCTGTCTCCCCAGATCTTTAAATGGTACTCCTTTTCATCATCAAGTTCCAAGTCAAATTTTACTTTCTTGGGGAGGACTTCTAAATATATTAACCCTTTATGCTAGACAAGGCACTATTCTAGACACTATTCGGAGATAACCTCATGTGAGTGCCTCAGAACTGTAGGTACAGCATTACATGTGCTTTCAATTATTTCATGAATCTACTTGAAATCATTAAATTATTTTAACTTGTTTTTTATTTGTCCCACATTACTGCTTATGCCCCATTTTTGCGTTTTGGCAAGAAGTTCATCCCCTTACTCACAGCTCTTTCCCCAACACCTGAAACTGTGCCTGGAACACAGGAAGTGCTCAGTCACCTATGTTGACTAATTCCAACTCGACTGCAAGCTCCCTATTGTGTCAGTCTTAGTCACAATCTCTCACCAGAGTCTTGCAAAGTGGATATTCAATATATAGTTGAATAAACTAAGTCACTTTAGTTAAAACTGACTGCAGTTGCATGAAAACACTTTAAGAACAGGACTATGTAATATACAGAGTTATAATATTAAAACTTTTCCTGCTTCACTACAGTTATCTGCAGAAAAAAGGGAGGTGAGAGATGTCTCTCCATGCATTAGCATATTAAAAAAATATTTTACAAATGGCAAAGCATTGTTAAATAGTTTAGGAAAGGGTTAATTGAAAGTAAAAATCCCCTCCCCACTTAAAATACTATTGTTTTGAGTCTCTGGAAATTTTAAAGGTATATACAAGAATATATTTCCACAAATAATTGCAACAGCAGTAGATTTTTAAAGTCAGTTAGTTGAAATAGTCACCCAGTAACATTTTCTAAAGTACAGTGTTAAGATAAAAAGTTTGTTTGTGTTTTGTTTTCTTTTAATTTCTAGAAAACCTGTATACCAGACATACCCCACACGTGGCCTAGTAATGCTGCTGTCTGCTGCCCTTTAAGATGGGACTTCCTAAGTCCAGAGTCCCAGCGTTCACATGACACATGATGGAAACCCTTCTCCCACCACAAAGGTCACTGAGGGCTCTTGTTAGCAAGGCCTCATAGGGTAGGCCTTGGGTTTCCAGGGAGCGATTGGTCAAGATTTAAAAAAAAACAAACAAGAGAGTCATTGGTTCAAAAAAACCTGGCAGCAAGCCAGGGAATTTTGCTTACATTTTTGGAAATCAGTCAAATGATCTCAGGCAAGAGGATGAATAAGAAGAGATGTAACAGCTGCTGACTTAAAAATACCAGGGTAAAAAAGGCCATACTTCAAACCAGTAATTCATTCATTCATTCAGCATACAGTTATTAAGATTTCATGCCAGGAAATGTTTTGGGTGCTTAGGTTTTCTTTAAGGAACTTCCCTGCCCTCGTGGAGTATATTCTAGTATGGTAATAGATAAACAGGTAGCAAACTAAAAATTAAAAATTGTGTATCAGGTGATGATAAATGCTGTCTTTTTTTAAAAACACATGAAGATTAATAATGCTCAGGAAAAGAGTTGCTATAGAGAATCTGCCTGATTCTTTGTTCACCCAGAAATGGGCTCAGGAAAGCTGGCCTATAATGGACTAGCTCAGTTGCCTTTCTAGGGTGTGCGGATGAAAGATTAGAGTGAGGAAGGACGTGAAGTCAGGATATTTATTTCTCGGAGCTTGCAACTTCTGTAGGGTGGCTTTCCAAGTGATTAGTTCTAGGTGATTCTCTTATTCCAGGTTCCTAATTGTTCCCCACCTTGTCCCTTCAGATCTAGAGAACCCTTATTCTAAATAGCATTTATCATCACCTGATACACAGTTTTTAATTTTTAGTTTGCTACCTGTTTATCTGTTACCATACTAGAATATACTCCACGAGGGCAGGGATGTTCCTTAAAGAAAACCTAAGAAAAGCCTCCTCCCCAGAGGCACTGCAGTCTCCCATAGTTTTCCTGCGCTGCCTCTTCTATCATGGTAGAGTCGCTTTGTTGACTCTTTCTGGAATTGAGCCCATAAAACTGAGCTTTAAAAATACCATGTTTGCGGGCCCTCCCTGGTGGCGCAGCGGGTTAAAGCACAGCACTAAGCAGCTAATGCCACTTTAGCGTGAGTTTGATCCTTGCCCTGGAGGTGACCACATGGCACGGCAGAACTCTCCTGACCCATCTACTGCTCCCCTCAGCAGTGTACTTCATCAGCCCCCCTATTCTGCTCCCCACTCTCTCTCTGGTGAATCCTCTCACCGCCTCTGCACCTCTGACCTGTACCCCAGTTCTGACCTGTACACACATATATCATGTTTGCTGTGAGAGGAAGCAGACCGGGTAGAAAAAGAAATACTCAGGCTGGATGCAGAACTGACTGTCAGAGGCAACCCAATGGGCAGCTCACAGTAAAGATTTCCCGTGAGAACAGTCACCCTTTGCACAGAATTGCCAGATTCTGGTATCCCTACAATGCTCAGAGACTAGGGGCTGCCCGGGAACACACATTTTTTTCTGAAAGGGCAACCCAAGTGGTGGGCCCCCTTCGCTGCCTCAGCTTCTGGTTGCACCATGCAAACCCCCTCATCCATACACTGGAAGAAGCTGCCCCAAAGACCCATTGAACCTCTCTTATAAATGAAACGTAGATGAGATAGGGCAGTGAGACATACTACACACTCCTCACCAGTAGCTGGTGTTGGGACCCATACTGGTCTTCATCAATTCCTTCCATTCTCCATACTGATGTTCCCTTTGTTTACAGATGTACTTCTTGCTGGCCTTGGTGCATTACTTAGTAAGGTGTCCAAGCCCTTACTCCTGTGGGTAAGCCTTTGGGGATGATACTTCTTCTCTGGCCAGGGGTGTTGCACTCATCCACTCACAGTACAGTTGACTATAGCAAGAGGCATCCACATCAATTCTACCTATATTTCTTCTTGTACTTAATGTGTAATAGTAGTTTCACCTCCTCCTAATAAGAATCCAATATCCCTCTTTATGGGTCCATTAATCTAAATAATGGCTTGTTCAATGGAGCCACTGCTATACCCCTAGCAAAGTGTCCCTCAACCCTCTTGGGTGACCTGGACTTCCAACCCTCAGGATTCAGAGTTGTGGGAACAGAAAGTTACCACAGGGAGTGGTAAGCAGGACTTCTGCTTTCCCATCTTGCTCCCTAGACACAACTAGTCTTCCTACTGGGTACACAGTGACCTGTAGTATTCTCTGGGTGCATGTGTAGATTGCATCCTGAAGAATGGGACTGGAGAATGCTCAGTGTTGTCTCTGAGATGTGCTTCAGCTGTACCCTCACCAGGTCATTCCATCATCTCAGACTGGCTCTTTTGGAGAAGGCGG